TGAAATAGGGAAGGCATGTCTCAAGTGGTGAACCCTGCCAGCTGTTTCACCATTTTAATCTCCAGTCCGCCCCACTATTTTATTAGAATGAATATCTTGTATAACATGTTTATTTGCTATTAAATACAATAATTATGTGCTTCTATATATTTAATAAATGCATACACTGGCATAATATTTCTCTAAATTCTAAGAGAATATTTTATATATAAACCTTAAGATACAGATATGAACATGCTATTTGAATAGTAAAGAACAAAACTCATTTGAAAAGCGTTTCCTTTTTATTTATTTGCTTTCATTTTTACAACGTTATTTTCCAGCAATTGGTGACAACCAAACCCTTTACATGAATAACTGCTGTCTGTTAAGAGGGAGTCTAGATTACAGCTGCCATTTCTGAGCATTTTTAAAAGGAATTGCTGAATAAACTAGTGAGCCAACAATTGAAAAATGAAAAAAATTAAAGTTCCTATTACTTGAAATAATGTCTGAAATTATCTCGAGGAAAAGTGGTTAAACAATAAATATAAATTGCTAACATTTATACTAATATTTATGTAAATATATAATTTAGAATAATTTAATTTATAAGAAGATATTTAAATCGTTCACTGATATGAAATTCGATTAGAAATAAAATATACTTTATAGCTGAAATATTTATACTCTAATATAGATGCTGAAATTTAATCGTTCTCTTTAATTCAAATGAAATTAATAATGAAACGTTTCATAGAATATTGATGTGATTATTTTCGTATGAAAACATCTTTGAGAGCATGCAAATATATCTATCGCTATTTATTTTGATCTAGAAATGACTGAAATTTAAACAACTACCGAAAGGATATTAAGGATAATATTGGAAGAATCTGGCTCATTTAGTGCTTAACCCTACTAGCGATATTTGGTGTTCAATTTGCCATGCTGCTATATAGAACTATCCTATGTGGTTTGTTATTATGAGTTTATACAGACACATCATACCATAAATTACATAATTCATAAAATCATTCATTGGATTATTTTCTCATAGATTATTAAAATATTATTTGAGAAAGAGAGCACTAAATTAATAATTTATTCATTTTTTTATATGAAATGTAAATTCTTGTTATTAATATGGAATTAGATACAATATAAATGGGTATTTCAAAATTATTTCAGATATTTCAATTATAATGTTCATACAAATAGAGGCTTTATTTTAGATTTTTGAATATTGATTTTACTCGACGCCAGAAGGAAGAAACTTCCCCATTGAAAGGGCATTATAACAATGCATTTGTTTAACCAGAACCTAAATTGTTACCATTCATGTTTAACATTCATTTTGGAAAATTCGAGTGATTTTATGAGTCCTCTTATAAGATGTTATGAAATCGAAGCTATCCCCATGTACTGATGGGGGGTATAGCCCGAAACCATTGTTTACAGGTTGACTTTTGTCTGAATTTGCCACACCTTATATATGGTGGCAAATATTATTTTATTCAACTTCTGAGTTTTGCATTGGAGGGATGAATATATGCATTCTTTTAGGTACCTAAAAGGTATAAAAAATGAATTATCATTATATTTATGGTAGGTTTAAATTTCTTCGAATTCTATTACTATATCTAGATAACCTAGCTCTACTGATTTCTAAGCTGAAGTGGTTGAAAGGTTCAACATATAAGAAAAATATATGATTGAATTTGAATATTTATATCTCTCCATGTTTATAGATAAAAGTAAAATATTGTCAGAGTTATGAAAATAAACAATATAATCCCAACAGATCAATCAGTGCCAGATTCATCTTACGCTCTTCATTTAATATAAAGACGACAATATCGAGAGAAAATTACGAAAGAAGTATTAAACCACTTTATAGCGATTTTAAATATTAATACATTTAATTTATGTACATACAGTCTTAATTAGGGAGTAATTTATAAAAATACAGTGATATCTGCTAAAACGAACCGGAGATACAGCGAATCGTCTTTTTTATTATAACCTGATATAATCATTATTTTATTTTATAATACAAATACCGTGGCTATAGTGAACCAAATGTTCAGATCCGCTAGGGTTTTCTGTGAATCCAACTAACAAACAAAATATATCTGGCAAAACTTTGTAACGTCCGAGAAATATTTTAAAAGAAATTTCTAGAATCAATACAGTTCAAAATGGATTTATTCCGGATCTATGTGAATATGCTTTGGAAATGTGGCCTGCAATACTATTAAAATAATTCTGCCGTTATATTCATGTTTATTCTATGGACGGCATGCATTCATTATTATATGTTATTATTTCTTCATAAAGTAAGACTTCTATAAAAATAAACATAACAGGACTAATAATGTGGTTTCACTATAACCATTATTTCATTATAACTAGTGTATTTTATATTATATAATAAAAATGGATTTCATTTTAAGTTCGTTATGAGGCACGGTTCGCTATGTCTCCTGTTCTCTTAAGCGGGTTTCTACTGTATATAACATGAAATTGCGGCAGGATGACATTCATGTTTCAAAGATGGCACTTCTACTTCTAAAATGCAATAAGACAATGAATATTAACACCCCCAAACCATAACGCAATAGTGATTATAAAGAATGAGCCCTAAATACAGGTTGGTAAATTCAGACAATAGACCGACCTGCTTAGGTCCTTATTAGGTGCCTCAAATGGTACATGAATGTCATCCTCCGGCAATTTTATGTTGCATTTTAGCCTGAAAGTTGTTCTATGCCACTTCACCAGCTGAAATGACATTTTTGTGTAAATCCCCTGATTTCATAACTTCTCTCTTAGGATGTTATTAAATCGAAGCCGCCCCTGATCAGGTCCAACGACCGATATTATGGTTTAGACGTTGGTTTTTGTCTGAATATTCCAAAACTGGCGTTGTAGTTCATTCTTTGTCATCACCATTTCGTTCTATTTTGGGGTGATAAAATTTGTTCCGATTCAGGGAGAGGTGCAACCTATTGTACAAGGTAAGTGAAACATTTACCATTAAATTATGTATATGCATATATATATATTACTTCTAGTTTGATAGTCATGAGATAATTTATGATTAACACGATATAAAAAGAGACAAATATAATCTAAATTAAAGGGTTTATAACACAGATGTATTATTACTAGCCATAACGCTCTTTGCTTGTAAATCAGCTGACAAATCAATTTGACAACAGCCTACCGCCAGGCTAGTTTGACGCTCCGTCATCATTTATTATTAATTTTTATTACTCACGTACTATGCGCATTTGCAGATTCTATTTCTGGAAGTACTGTACAATATTAATAGTTAACGCTGATGAAGAATTCTAAATGATTTCGACACGTTAGAATAAAATTATTTCACCCTAATAATGTCATACTTGATTAGATTCTTTGGTGAATTGATGCTACCTCTCTGGTCATGAATGTTATTTTATACCTGAGAGAAAAAATAGATGGATGGGTACAGATCGATTAAAAATATAATACATACCATTGGTTTTTTGCATAAAAGGTAGAAGCAGATTTTTAATTGTTGCATATATCATTTGTTGCTTGGAAATCTATTGAAAAATAACACATATATATTTGAATTTCTTCAGTTTTTTTATTTCCTGAAGTTTGGCCAACTCACTGTCACCCTAATCAAGGAAACGAATATCTAAAATAGATGCAAAGCATCAAATTATAAACATGGGGTGTCCAAGTTGAAGATTCTCGCGAAGATCTTGATAATAACTATAAGATAGAATTCAAAAACTCTGAGGTCGCCGAAACACTGGGAAATAGTAAAACGGTTAATGTATCTCAAAGTCACTATATTTATAACCTTTGAGATTAATAGAATTATTAAAAACCTTTTGTTTCATCAAACTAAAGAGGATAAAATAAATATCTCAGCTCCCACCATTTATCAATTATATTTATGCGAGCCAAGAAAAAAAGCGGCAGGGGACGAAAATCGTATAATGAGAGAAGATGCAAACATTTATTGACACATAAAACACTTGAAAAACAAAAAGGCCAGAGCGTCATGTAAAATTATTATGTGAGCGGTCAGAATATGCGTATATTATTTGTTTTTTTAATATCAATACTTGACCTTTTATCTATTTTTAAAAATATTTTCCCTCAACAAAACTAGGTAATCACTTATTTATATTTAATCACATTAAATATAAAAATATTAATAATCGTTCCCCGCCCCTTTTTATTTACTTTTTCAATCATTTTTATATTTTATGATGTTAATAAAATATAAAATAAAATGTATATATAAAAAATATTTTCTATAGAATTCATTCCTGACCCCTTCACGCGCGGCCTAATAGATTCAACCGATGTAAAATTTCAGCCTTCTATGTGAATGGAAGTATATAAAAATTTGATTATAAATATCAAAAGAAAATATAAAAATTAGTGCAGTTTCTACCATATATTTATGAAACTCTGATCGCTCATTAAGTCTTGTGAAAGGTTGCGCCTATTTTCTTCATTTATAATAATTATATACTAATTAACTTCGCTAGTCTATTTCACACCACTATAGACACCTAGAAGTTTGAAACTTTGTAACCTTGCAATGTTTTTACGGTTTAACTAGTCTCTACAAAACACAAATTTCCACATGTTCAGGAACTATATTAAAAATTGATATCAAATTTCGAAGGAAAATATAGAAAATACGATAATTCATTATGAATCTCCCGACCACTCTGAAGTCTGAAACGTTTTTTCATCTTTAAAAGTGATTGGTATTGAACAAGCGTACAAAATATCTGAGGCGCCATTACTCTACATATTTTCACCATTTCATACTTCATTCAAAAAAGTTAAAAATAGTAAATATTTCTCTTTAAAATAAATATTGATTTTTCACAAAAATGAAACTTATGCGGTATAACTTTAAGTATTGTTTATAATCACCTGCCGCAGTCCTTTATAATGTATTATAAGTTACTTTAAGTATTATTTACGAACGGAGAAATACGTCCAGGGTAGCCTAGTGGACATGGCACCTGCCCGGTAAGCAAAGGGTTGTGGGTTCGATTCCCGCCCCTGGACATTTTTATTTTTCCCGTTCGCCATTACTCTTCATATTTTCACCCTTTCATACTTCATTCAAAAAAGTTGGAAATAGTAAATATTTCTCTTTAAAATAAATATTGATTTTTCACAAAAAAGAAACTTATGCGGTATAACTTTAAGTATTGTTTATATCTGACTTCTATATGCTCTGTAAGTATATTGGAAATTGATTACAATATTTTCAGAAAGACAAACATGTGGAAACTAAAAAAATAAGAGCTTTTAAAATATATTCAACTTTCAAATAATTTATATTGCGAGAGAGAGAGATGACGAAAAAACAAGTTTACTTCTTTGTATTATAACTACACACAAAATCTCTCATAAACTATTTCTAAAATTGAAATGGTTGTTTATTTCACCTCATATTTATATTTTTATATATAGGTTTAAAATTAAAAAAAAAAAACATATTAACCATATTCAGGGATATTTTAATTTTTATATACGATGCGCGTTTTCAATATTGATAAAATATTCGAAAATATAAAATTTTAATATTAATATAATATATTTTCAATCTCACTCTCTAATTTTAATTTAAAATCTATTAAGAACTAATTAAATATATGCAGTACTAAAATAAATCACTGTTTTATATTTGGGTTTACATGTAAAATAATATTTTATATGCAAAAATAAACATAACTCTTTTCCGAATAATTCAATCAATAGAAATATACTTCTAATAAAACATTTAATGGACCTCTATACTTAATAAATGACAGCTACCAGGATATGGAATTGATGGGTTTTGGACGGTTATACGGAACGATATATTTGATCTCAAGCGTCCCGTTATCACCAACAGTTGGGAAGAACTACATGCTACCCAAATGCCCTTGATGAATCTCACCGCCACCTTAAGATCCTTGAGTCAGTAAATAAGGCGTTTGCGAGTCTAAAGGTGTCTTCACGAACAGTTTGAGGACGTTTCAAAAGCATGGACTGCCAGATAATTACATCTTAGACAGAAACGCCATCAATGGTTTGGTTAACCACAAACTTTAACTCAGGAATGGGAAGAAGTCGTGTTTTTAGACGAATACAGGTTCTGGTTACAGCACCATGATGAACGCTTCTGTGTTTTGCGCTATCGTGAAGTAGGTAAATGGCCAGTGTACTTATTTTAGAAATCGTCATACTGACCCCTCACCTGGGGGTATGGTATCGATTATACGTCTTGGTAATGTCTTGTTCACATTACCGGCACTTCGAACAGTTCCCGTTACATTTATAATGTTTTAATCCCGTGGTATAGTTACCTTTATTCGACGCCTGGGAAACGCCAATTTTCATCAGGATGATATACGACTGCATGTGTCCAATATTGCACGAATCTTTATAAATACAAAAGGAGCTCGATTATTACTTTAGCCAGCACGTTTTTATCATCTTTCACTAATATAAAGGTCTGGTCAATTATGTCGATGTACTGTGGCATCGTTTTGACGCTGCTTGGGAAAGGCAGCACCTATACGTGTCATCCAATCGCAGTTTGACTCAATGCGCCCTGGCGTATAAATTCTAATATTGCTGTTAGAGGGGGCTCTTTTTGGGTAATGGTTACTAATTTTACATGCCTCAATTTTTTAAAAATGTATTCAATTGTTATTTCCAGAACAATGTGTTTGACCAGAAATATTTTCCAAATATTATAATTGACAGTAGTGTTGCATTAGCTTTATTGAGACACAAAAAATTAATATGCATGTTGGATTATTCGAACGAATGTATAAGTGAATTAAATTTGCGAATGAAATATATCAGAGATATATGATGAGAAGAATATATTATGAGAGAAATAGAAAAAAATATTCCCTATTACAGAAATATTTATTTTATTAAGGGAAATAACTATTTTTTTTTATATAAAAATATACGATATCATAAAATATTTTTATTATTGTGTTAAAGATAGTTGAAAAATATCTTTCTTAAATTAAATGGTTGGAGGACGCTTTGAAAGGTTTCCGATTGGTCATCGGCATATTGTGACATTGAAGTCGGCTCTATTCCAGATGTCACATTTTAGCTCAGCAAACATGACATAAAAGGTGACATCTATTTTACTCTTATATATCTTCTATTACTTGTGTCTCGCTGTATCCCGGAGATGTAACTCTCTCTATTTATATCTAACCTATAAATTGCATCTACACTGTAGATATATCTATAGATAATCATGAATTGAGAGATTGTTTCATATATATTGCGACGTTTTGACCTAGTTTTTATTTTTATATGCGTTATTTTTATAGTTTATAAGGTATAGTGTTTGTTAACAAAATATAAATTTTGGCTTTTTTTCCTTCACAAGCCGTTTGTTGTTTTTGTATATAAATTTTGTTAAGTTTTTACTAATTTATATTTTGTTCATCACATTTAATTTATAATGATTAAAAATAATAAAAAAATAATTTATATAAAGCCCAAACGTTTACAAGACCTCTCAATTCACCTACACATAACTTCTGTAGAATTACCAGTTCAATTTCACATTCATAAATTTAAATTTTCTACATAATTTATTTATTAATTTCCACATATGCTCTAGATAGAGTCGCTTTCTTTTGACTATCGTAAGGTACCTAATCATTTCATTAGACAAAATATTTAATTTTGACGATCCAATTTTCATTCCACCCACTGAACAGGTTTTCAAATACCACACTTTCTATATTTTGAGCGGTCTCAAGTTTAAGGCGCTTTTTTGAATATAATAATGAATTTAATATATGCTTGTGACATCAGAGATATAATAAAAATCTCTTAAACGCTAATGCAATTGAATCCGTTATTTTTAATACCTGATATTGAATGCTAATAGAAGCTTTTTTATTCATGGTGTTACAGACATTTCCTTTTTTTGTTTACTTAGTGAGTGAATATATACCATTTTTGTTATATTATTTTAAATGTTCTTTTGATATTGAAGTGAATATTTATGAAATATAAAGGTTTTTAGCTTATGTCTACATTTTATGAAATTGCTAAGGCAATCTCAAAGCCTTTGAGCGAAAGGTTGCGCTCAATAACGGAAACTATGGTCGATACGGTCGGTATATTAAAAAAATCAATTAACAAAAACATGTTTATTTTCTTATAATCAATTTTATTTTAATTGTGTGTTTTTAAGTTATTCTAAATAATATAATTTTGAATTCGGTAATGGCGAACTCTGCATACATAATCTTGTAGATATTTTTATTTTTTGAAATATCAATCACGTTAAATTTTGTTTTATAAATTTATTAAGCCTGATAATTAAAAATATATATATATATTAGATTATAAAGTGTATGCTATTTTTAAGGAGAGAAAAACTTCAATTGTATTTTCGTTTGCTTTCTTCCCAAGTTACTTCGACAAAAAAAAAACTATTTATTTGATAGAAAGCTGATTGTAATTCTGGTCTATCTTACATAGGTAAACATAACATCCTGTTTTTATATACATCGCACAACAATGTTTGCATATATATATATTTAAAAGATTCAATTTGAAAGGTAAAGAGGTATAGTTCCTATAGGCATTGTGAATATAAATCGAACAAAGCACAAATCTTCTCAGCCCGCTCTTATCGATTAAAAGAATATTTTCTCACACACACAATTCCTATCCACTGAGGAGAGGCTGCTGGGACCTCCAGATAATTTAATTTTGAAGCAGAAGACGCTGCGCTGTAGAGATAAAGTGCCCCATTCTCCTGATTACAATACAAATATTTAGATCCCTCGCTGGGAGGATTGCGTTCAACAAAACTCCCATTGTGCCATTCTGCTGAATTCTCCAAATATTCCCCTCGGCGCAGACATCCTGGAAATATCCGATATGGGCACTATTCTCAGCGTTGCACTTGCTTCTTTTCCCTCACTTACCTCCAGCATATACGGGGATTTCTTTATAACGACTTTGCTTATAACGTTTTTCCGCTTAATGCACAATTCCACATCTTCTCAAATTGAACTTTCCAGTTCAAATATATAACGTCGAATTCCAATTATATGCTCTTTGCCTTTATAATCTTATAGGTTTATAAAATAATTCACGCTTTAAAATACAGTAAAGCCTCGTTATAGAGAATCCGAATGGACCGAATTATTGATTCACTATACCTATGGTTAATTTAATACTATCGGTAATATTGAGAATATATTTGGTTAATTATAAAGGAAAGTTTATTATATCAGCTGTTTTTCGTCTGGATTTAACTGTATGAAAATATATGCATCGGTAATTATTATCTTCATTATAACACAGTGCCATTTCCGAAACGGAGGTCAGCCATTATGGAACATCATTTCATCTTGCTCAGAGCAATCCATTTCAACTTTTCCTATCTACTTCGTATTCTGGATCACATCAAACAATCAATCAGATTATCGAACCTAATCAATACTTCGTTTGCATCTCCCTTTTTTTCCTTCAAGTTATATCCCACCAGTAAGTTTAATGTGCGATCTTCCGATGAATCGCCCCATGGAGTATACTTATTCTCTTAGGAATATGAAAATTAAATTTGAATCAACGTTTTCTTGCATTTATATATTTATAGCTGAACAAGTACACATGAGGTAAAAATGAATTATTTTTTAGTAGTTTTGGCAGAAGAGAATGACGAAAAAGGATAGCCAGATTTATACTTTTATATATCATTTCAAAATTAGATTATCGTAAGACTGCATAGAAATTAATTCTAAATTGTATGACAAATAAAACTCAATTTATAATAAATTTATATTAATAATGTGGATGATATAGGTTATTTATATATTTTTGAACATTTAAAATATATATAAGATTACAGTGTGTTAATGTTCATATTCACATTCAAATTCATAAATGATGTTTTTGAATATGATATATTTTCATTGCATTTTTGGTAATTGTTCATTATATAACAAATATATCTCTGAATTAAGAAAAAAAGGCATCTACTTATCGTACAACTGAGAGTTTTTTTTTTTCTTAAT